GACACTCATTCATGGTTATATCTCAGCATAAAAGACCCTCCCTCTAAATGGCTTTTTCCTGTTTGTGAATCTAAAACCATAATCGATATGTTCTAATTAATTGCTAATCAGGCAGCATCCTTTCTGATCAGCTATCTGTGTGATCCTTTCTGTTTTAATTATTCCCAGAGTAATGATTTTAAATCTTTTATAAGTGGATCACATTCCCTCACACATCCTGGATCTCAGAACAAGTGAATATTTCCTTGACACACAAAACATCTCATTTCTTTTTCATCTTCTTCTTGTATAAAAAATTTTCCAGTCACATGAATTATCCCACCAAGAGTTTGTTAGAACAGGCAGGAGGAAATCCTTCTGCTTCGTGGCAGCCAAAGTGACTGAAACCATTGTAATTTCATAGAATCATAGAATTGTCAGGGTTGGAAGGGACCTTAAAGATCATCTAGTTCCAACCCCCCTGCCATGGGCAGGGACATCCCCCACTAGATCAGGCTGCCCAGAGTCCCATCCAGCCTGGCCTTAAAAACTTCCAGGGATGGGGCTTCCACCCCCTTTCTGGGAAACCTGTTCCAGCGTCTCACCACCCTCATAGTGAAGAACTATTTGTCAGTAATTTGTCACCGAGAAACTTTGCTAGATCATTCATCTCTGACCCTCTTGACAGGAGACCACATGATATCCTTCCAAGGGGTCTACTATTGGGAATAAGCCAAAAGCATCTCCTTAACGTCATGATTGTCATGTAGGCTTGTCTTTAAAGCCAGCTGCATCCCCATCCCATTACAGCGCCTCCTCCTGTTATGGGGAATACAGAATCATCTGTTTGCAAATCTGAAGACCTTTAAATGCTGGTTGCTTCTTTCTCTTGCTGAAGTCAGCTCAAAGAGCAAGAATTCAGACATCATTTCTCATCCAGCCAACTGCCCTGAGAATGAAGGCAGCTCTAAGGAAATAGAAGATGGTGGATGGAAGAGCTGATGAGCGTACAACTAAGTATCTAAAGAGATAAATCTCAATCACTGCTCAGACCAAGGGGCTGCCAACATATATCTAAGTCAAAAATATATGTACATCACTTACGTGCACATACTCCTATTTCGTACCTAGGTCTGTCTCCACTGTAGTCGCAGTACAAGCCCCTGTGGAAATCGCAGGTGTCGGCCTCCGTGCAACGTTCTCCACGCTGCTTGGCACACATCTTGCAGCAGTCGCAGCCGTCTGTGACCAGGCTGACGCCTACCAAGCACCGAGGCGGGGACTTCGGACACTCGCACGGCCACTTACAGTACTGAGCCCGCGTGTAGCCCTCTGTCGTGGCAGGGACGGTGGGAGTCATGGTGGTGGAAGTCTGGGCAATGGCCTACAAACAAAGAAACACAGCTTGGAGAGCGTTCGAGGGAAAAGGGGGCTGCAAATCCTGTGCTGATCAGACATCAGTTAAAATGCCCTCACGCCTAAAGACACTGCAAGAAAACCAAAGAATAAATGTCAGAGAGCCACGGAAAGGGACCAGTCACCACCCTCTTGCAAACCTCCTGAGATATCAGCTGAGGGCAAATGCTCTGTGGCTCGGACTGGCATCCAGCCTGCATAGCTGAAGCCTGCTGGTACTCGGCCTTTTCAAGATCTCCCTATCTAAATAGAGGTTTCTCTCTGTTTTGAATCGTGTTAAAACCCCTCTGATACATGGCAAGGAGGCGTGATCTGTTCAGTCTGTGTCACCCTCTGGCAGAGGTTTGTGCCACCCCGTAGCTGTCATCCATGTTGATTGAGAGATGGCTTTAGGACCTCTTGGCTGCTCTAAGGTTTCCTCACACAGCTGTTGTTCCTCTTCAGGTCACCAAACAACATAAGGGCCATTGGGTTGCAGTGAGAAAGCACTTAAGTGCCTATTTGGCCGGTTAGCTCAGTCAGTTGAGTGTGGCACTAAGAATGCCAAGGTCGTGGGGTCGATTCCCGTTCGGTCCCCATGTGTTGCCTGATCTAGTCGAGAAGTGGCATCTCTGGTGACAGGAAGGCTGGATTAAAATGATTTCTAAGATCCCTTCCAGCCTAGGGCATTCTATGATTCTATTTGGCCTTGTCTTCTTCAGGCTTATCCATATTTGTGTGGGTCTTGAATCATGATACAGTATCCCATAAATACATGAGGGGACCGCGAGCAGGCCTGCAAGCCCATCATACCCATAGACACCCAGTCATGGACCTCTGTGTTGTGAGGATGGTCTGAAATCCAGAGGCCTAGCACTCCACCATGGACCTCCTGAAAAATTTTATCTCCTCTTGCCATACTGCTAATACCACTCAACTTCCACCTTACAATATCCTAGCCCTTTGATTTGAGTAGATATGAGGTTAAAGAAGGGAAAAGATAACCTCTGAAACCAAAATCTGACTAACTGGTTGTGAATGTCATGATGTACAAGTTCACCCACCTCTGTCTGAAAAATGTTTTGCTTTTCTCCACCCAATAACACAAGGCATGTAACATTCAGCTCCCTGACATAGACCCAGTCCTAAGCAATGAAGCTACACTATGGTTATAACACTTTTAAAAAATTTAAAAATATTATTTTAAAAAAAATAAATACAATGTATTTCCTCTAAGCACCCTGACAACCACTCTTATCCATCCTTCGCAGTGTCCAGAGTACTATATTCAGCAGAAATGCTCTCTGTGAATCCTAAAGCAGTGAGGAGGCTCTTAGGTCTGTCTGTGATGGGCTGTTCCAAGTTTTACTCTAGTTACCATGACGTTGCCCTGGCCCATACAGTCGAACAGCTGGGATATTTCTGCAGTGATTTTCCACCTACGTCTTTTGGCACATGCTTTTGTCCTACCTGGAGTCACTGTGGGACCTATAGGTTGGATAAGTGTAAGAGAAACTTCATAATGTTAGCATTTCTCCCATTTGTTGTGCACGAATAATTGCCTACATGGTGAGCAAGGAAGGAAAACTTTTATGGGGAGGATACTGCCAGGTTTCCATTTCCTGATCTCCATTTCCTTGACAAATAAGAACACCAAAAAACCCCAGAAAAACAAACCAAAAAACCCTCAACAAAACAACAAACCTGTAAGTTAACCAGATAAAAAATCTGATCAAGATAAATCAGGTAGAAAAAGGATTTCATGTAACACAGGGTGCTACTCCAGTAGGCACATTCAGGTCAACGTTACTGAGTCCTGGGGTACCTTGGCTCATAGCAAAACCAACAGAGGGTAGAAGTTCATTGCTTCTTGCACTCCCCAGTCCCTGCAGAACAAACTCTGGATGACGTTTAACATCACCAGTCATGCTTGTGGTGCAGGAAGGGTAAAAATCAGCCCAGTGACAAATCTGAGATGTGCCTTTTCTACCAGGATCACTCCACAGAAAACATCAGCTGCACATGGGGGTCAAGCAGGGCACAGTAGCTCAGGCACAGAAACAAATGGGGTTATTTACAGGCTACCAACAGAAGCCGGAACATGATCCTGCTTGGGGACATGTGGTCCAGAAGCCTTTTCTGGTGACAAAACATGAGGGCTGCAAACAATAAGTGCATAACGCTACAAAGTTCAGACAAGGAAAGTCAAAGTCTAGAAATAATTGAGGCGATCCCATCCATTCCTGTCTCCCTTGTCCTGTACTATATATTCCCCAGTGTTTTGTCCTCTTCAGAGTTTCAGACATCTCAAACGAAAGGCTTTCCACCACCTCTCATGAAGAAAATGCCTTCACTCTAGGCTTTGCGGGGAAAAGAATCCCCAGGAACTGTGATCCCACAGCCAATGAACTATCCATCAGGATACCTCTGCAAAACCCTTTTACTGTCTTCTACAGTTTCTTTGTGAGCAGACTCAGATTTCACTAAAGTCCATTTCTAAACATGCTACTTCTGTATCTGAACGTGCATTTAAGTGTCGTAGTAATTAGTTACCTTGTATTTAGAACAATAAATTGTTAACACATTGCTAATCACTGCCAAAAAGGCAATGTGTTTGCTCTGGGCATAATTCCCAATTCCATTAAGGCCCCCTGTAGAAACAGCTGGCTTTAAAGTTGGCTTAAAGTCACCTTTAAACTCATGTTTAAACTAAAACATACCAATATAATTTGCTCTCACTTTAAGACTCCTTGAAGCTGCCAAAATTGTTGAAAGATTCAGATCAATGAAAAGCCCTGGCCTTTTAATAGTAGTATTTTTCACTCCACTCACAATAATTTGAGGAGTGGCAATATTCTCTCACTTGAGAAGAGAGGCCTCTTCAAGTGCAATAAACCTATTTGCTTTGTTGCTGATCATTAAAAAAGTGCTCAGTAATCAAATCCAGATACACAGACAAGAGTCACACAGCTATTTAAAGAGCTCATTGCCATGGCCCAACCCTCTAGGTAAATCCCTTCATAGTCCCTTGTTTCTATTGTCAACATGGGCAAGCAAACAGCTCCTACCTTGTGTAGATATGAAAGTGTCTGGGAATCAACACTCTTAGCAAAGAGGAATCCTGCTAGTCCAATGATTTTAGTTAATAAGTGAGACACTGAGACTCAATTTTTGTAAAGGACTGGACAGGTTGGAGCCATTTGGTTAAATTATTTAACAGTCCTTCTTCTAGGTCTAAAGCCTGAGCTGGCCAAGAATACTTTTCTGTAGATTTATAAAATTCTTCTTTATAAAATTATTTTCTGTAGATTTATAAAATTCTGCAGATTTATAAAATTCTTTTATAAAAAGATTTATAAAAGTCTTGCCACCCTCGTACTGAAGAATTTCTTCCTAAGATCCAGTCAAAACCTATTCTCCTTCAATTTAAATCCGTTTTCCCTTGTCCTATCGCTGGACACTCTTGTAAAAAGTCCCTCCCCAGCCTTCCTGTAGGTTCCCTTCAGGTATTGGAAGGCAGCTACCAGGTCCCCCTGGAGTCTTCTCCAGGCTGAACAATCCCACCTCCCGCAGCCTGTCCTCATAGAAGATGTTCTCCAGCCCCTGGACCATCTTTGTGGCCCTGTAAATATCACAACAAAACCAACTCTTTCAGCAGGTGCTATCAACAGGAAATCACATTGCAATGGCCTTTATCAGTGGCTATCCATAACTAGAAAAAAAACAACCAAAAAACCAAAATCCCTCACGGAACTTAAGGTTTCAGGAATTATGTCTTTTGAGTTAATATAATGTGTATGAGGACAACAGTTTCATAAGAAATGTGAAAAGAGATTGAATTGAAACTGAACACCAAAAAACCAGAATGGTAAGGATTTGACAAGTTTATTTTAAAACATCAGAAAGATAAAAGAATGTGCCTGCTAGTAAGTTACTTTTTCCCAGCTACTGGTAATTAATTTGTTTTGTATAATTAACCTTTAATTTTGGAGTCTGCAGATTTGTTTTCTTGGATTCTAAGGATAAAATATTCTGCAACAAGTTATTCATGAGCTCTGATTTTGCTGCTTTTGGAGGTACAAGCCCATTCTCATTAAACCAAGATGAAGCCTTTCTCACCCTGCCGTGGCTGATAGTTCTCTGTTAAAGTCACTTCTGATATATGCTTGGCAAGCTCCAGAATTACTTTCCCGTTGCATCTGCAGAGAGTAGTATTTTGCTAGCTACAATTGCCAGCTAATTTTTGTATTCACATTCAAGAGGAGAGAAAGAGAAAATAACAAATTACTCACTGCCTGTCATGGACATGAACTCGATATTTCATTAATCATGTCTTAAAGATGCAAAAAGGATAGCAGCATTTTAGCAGCATACTCTACCTACTGGCAAAGTGTATTTTCATTTTTTAAAAAATAGTGTAATTCTAAATTTGTTTTAGCTTTGAAAACTGGAAAGATGAAGCTACGGTGTTGAAAATAGTTTATACAGTGCAAATTGCAAGTCAGCCAGAGATGTAGCAGCACTTTTACATCATGCACAAGGACACCTCCAGATTTGCCTTTAAGAAGCAAAGCCCTGGGAGGTATTGTGATATATTTCTTTGCTTCCAGTTTTTACAGGTGTGCAAAAATACGTTCATGTATATTGATTTCACTGTTTCAGCGCTGCAAGAGCTTAACTCTTAAAGCCTTTTTCTTTTGAGTATTTTTCTTATCACAATGAGATGGGTGAAGATAGGGAGAAACTGTCCATGTTCTTCCCCTTGAGTTTATTGATGGGAAAGAGCGCAGAAAGTATGGTGACTTCTAAATTCAAATCCTCTGGCTATTGGCAGAGCTGGGGAAATGGTTATGAGAGGTTGGCAGATAGAGGTCTGTTCAAATCACAGTACCTTATCACCTCCTGCTGTTTACTCCTCGGTGGTAAATTGCTCCTAAGGAAGAATTTTTGAGCTCACTCTTAGCT